GACTTATCGGACGCCAACCAAGCAGCAGGACAAATAATGTCAATGCATGATGAGCATTGTCATGACACTTCACCTTTCCCAGACCTGAGTAGTCCTGCTGACGTAGGTAAATTTCTGCTTGTTCTCTTAGAAACACATATTAACAGCCTTGTTGCACACTTCGTCTTCGTCCTTCGGTTCTTCATAATTTCGAATTGTAGCTTCCTCAAAGACCATGCACTAAGCTTCGCTATTGCGAGTACTTCTTCGTTTTACCTTGAGTACTTCCTCAAATTTTTCACCAATAAATGTTCTTTCCTGTCCTCAAAAGCATAATCATTCCTCGCTATCTATCTCCTTTAGCAGCAGGCCTGTTTTCATTCGTTGCACGATAGAAACAACATAATTCTTTCATGTTTATGGTTTTTGTTCAAGATGCTGGTCTAATTCGATGAATATCTATGGTTGTTGCACTCTTCAGCTTCTTCTCAGACAAAGGGTCAAGTCAATAAGGCATCAATTTTAAATCCAAAAGTGATAAATTTGTCAGGGACTCTTACATCCCTCCTGATGTCATAGTGACACAGTGATTAAGAGGGCGAACTCCGGAGGTGCCGGTTTGATTACAGCTTCCGACATTCTTTGCCTTAGCCACTAATTCTTTTGAGCAATAGATTTACCACAGTTTGCTTCAAACCGGGATTGTTCAGTCGGTGACTCGTCCGACTCAGAACCTAGAGTTCTCAGATTTGAATGCCGGTGAGAATCAGGCGTTTTTCAACCTTCCGAAGTTGATAATTGAGTATTTTTCTCTGAATAAGAAGCGGGGGACTACACAACGTGCTTTCCTCGTAGCTCCTGTCGACTCTGCCTTTGGAAAGCAGGAAACTCTTGAAAGCGGATCGGCCTCCCAGCATTAACATACTGAGAAAAGGCATCAGAAATCGCCTCATAAAGAAAGTATAAGGAAGACCGATATTCCAACAGTTGTAAACGTTCCTTTTTCATTTCTACCTTCCCGAGCTGCGTTCTAGAATGTTGAGATCATCAAGGCCTAATTTGGTTAATTTTTGATAGCGATCAGTTTCTTTTTATTCATTTTCCCTTGATGCAGTTTGTTTTCAGGAGCGCGGTAGAAATGTTTACCTAAATGTTTGGTAAATGATCTAATGTAGAAGAGCAATCCATTTTAATTCTGACCTTTCAGGTAGGACAACGTACGTTTATCGACATGACCTCATAGGCCTTCATCAACGTGACCTCACATGTCGTATCAATCCCAAAGTGGACAAAATTCCGGAAAAGTTTCGACCCAGGAAGTTTGTTATATCTAGTCGCGTTGGCGAAGCCAAAGGCTGTATTCGATGTTGCGTCGCTCGAAATCCATCAAACGGATATCGCTATCTGGCTGTGCTACTTCCTCACGGTATTCTGCTTCTGCAGTGGTACGAGCCACTGCAGAGGTTCATGCGAATTCAGGTAATCATTAATGAAAATGGTTTATGGGCGTGCAGCAGGCCTTTGTTACGTAACGTTTACTTGTAGCTGATCACCTGCAAAATACCGATACCCTTTCCCCTTTTCGAGATGTTCGTATCTCCTGAACTGGAATATCCGGTCGTTTGTTGCGGTGTTCGTCTTGGGTAAGTGTAGAGGGTATCTCATTAGATAGCCGCATGCTGATTCCCTTTGATTCAAGATAGCTCAGTTTATTTTTTGTCAGCTTTCGGTCACTAAATCTGGTGATTCGTTACTGTTGTGATAATCAGCGACCTTAGGTTAGTATCATAGACATTGTAGTATATTGTTGATTGCAAAATCTAGTGTAAATTTAGAAAATCTTTTTTAAGACCGATCTTTCTTTCTCATTGAACCGGTGTACAAAAGCTGCATATGCCTGCATCTATGCAAGTACGAAGGGTGAATAAAATCAGTGATCCAGCAGATAATTCGAATTCACATTTGCAAACACTTCGTAAAATACTGATGGAGAGTTGATTGATAAGCAGCATTATTAAGTGTTAAATCTGGGTTGTTCAGTCGGTAGGGTGTTAGACTCAGAACCGAGAAGTCCCAGATTTCAACCTCGGTTGCTATCGCTCACCTTTCTTTCTTCCGAAATTAATCCATTGAGTACCACTCTGTGGGAAGGAAAGAGAGGGACTACACCCTATGCTTACCATATGGCTGCTGTGGACTCTGCCTTTAAAATAATGCACCACTGATTGATGGCATGGAAATGGAGGTCAGCACTTCACCATTAACCTCATTGAAAGTTCATCGCCTGAAATGGCGCCATCATGAAAGTGTAAGGAACTGCTGCGGTTACAGACTATCCTTTCTTCCTTGACAAAATATTTCAGAAACGGATTATGGCAGACATATGCGAATTTCTAGGTGAAATTCACGACCATAAGATTCACGCATTCACTTTTAATGACTTCACAAGTTAAACAAAAGCTTCTTACTCTGAGCACAAGAAGATTTTCATGGGCATGTTAGTGGACTAAAATCATGT